AAAAAAAAAAAATCACCAGCAGAAAAAACCAGGGCTAGAGGCATGGCTTCAGTAGTAGAGCATCAGCCTAGCAAGTGCAAGTCACTGAGTTCAAATCCCAGTAAAACACACACGTGCACACACACACACAAAGACACTACGCTAACAACGAAGCAGTAGTGGATGGAACTCTAGAAGGATAAGCTATATCCTGTCCAGATTTAGTTTCAAGAGGAGGAGGTGGCTGGTGTGGTGTTCACCTGGATCAGGCTGCTGGGGCCTGATAACCTGCTTCTTATAAAGATAAAGCAGGAGTGGGTGGATCTTGACTTGGAGTTTTCTAACAGCCTAGCTTGAATGGCTGCTGTCCCTCTGGTTCCCATCTCAGGACAGCTGGCTTAGGGTTCCATCTTCTCTCCTCTGACCCTGTAATGATCTTCATTGGGTTAAGCAAAGCTTGTTTTTTGGCCATGCACAGTGGCTTGTGCCTGTTAGCCTACCTACTTAGGAGGCAGAGATTGAGGCCAGTCTGGCTAAAAAGCTAGAGAAACTCCATTTCAATCAACAGCTGGGCTTAGTGCTGTGTGCTTGTCATCCCAAATACAGAGGAGGTTTAAGTAGAATTGGTACAGTCCAGCTTGGGGAATAACAGAAGGTCCTGTCTAAAAAATAACTAAAGCAAAAAAGGCTAGTGGCATGGCTGAAATGGTAAGAGTGTCTGCCTGGTCCTTGAAGTGCTCTACCACAGAACATTACCCACAACTCCCTTTTTAAAGAATTTTTTTTTTCCCCCAGTCGTAGGGCTTGAACTCTGGGTCTGGGTGCTGTCCCTGCACTCTTGAGCTCAAGAAGAGTGCTCTACCACTTGCTATAGTGCCACTTCCGGTTTTCTGGTGGTTTACCGGGGATAAGAGTCTCATGGACTTTCCTGCCTGGGCTGGCTTTGAACCATGATCCTCAGATGTTAGCCTCCTGAGTAGCTAGGAAGAATGTTATTTTTGAGCTAAGCTCTTGTGACGGTATCCAGGCTGGTTTTGAATTCTTGATCCTTCTACCTTAGTCTCCCAAGTAGTTGGTACTATATGTTGGTGCCACCATGCCCTGCTTTGTCATAATCTTTGAGACAGCAACCGGCCTTTCTCTGCACCTTCTGTCTAGGGAAGTACCACTGCCCAGTGCTGTTCACTGTGTTCACTGACAACACCCATATTGTGGCTGTTAGGACAACTGGCAATGTCTATGCCTATGAGGTGAGTGCTGGCTGTGGAGCGGTGACTTGGTTAGTGCTCATTGGCAGAGAGAGATGAGCATCCTGTATGCTTGTTCTCTGCTTGTCTCTGGGCCTAATAGTAGGCTAGGGTCTGGAACACCAACTTGCTTCTGGCTGCAGGCAGTGGAACAGCTGAACATCAAGGCCAAGAATTTCCGGGACCTGCTGACTGATGAGCCCTTCTCCCGCCAGGATATCATCACCCTCCAGGTGGGAGTTGCCAGCTGCAGGGAGCTCCCACCGTAGGGCCTTTCTGTTTGCCCTCTGCTCAGTTTGCTCTCCTCGCCAGGCTTGGTGGTCCCCTCCTTCCCCCTTCGTCACCTTGTCTTGTTACAGGCCGCTTCCTCCATCCCAATCTCGCAGCTCCTCCTATGAAGCCCCTGTCATGTCAGGGACTTTATCTCTGTCCCCACCTCCATCTCGGCCTCAGAATGGGTTGGCCACTCTGCAGGCTGGCTTTGCACTGCCCTCCCTGAGATCAGGGACAGACTGTCACATGCTCCATGTGCAGTACCAGTTGAGACATTTCTGTAGGTGCACGTGGATGATGAGAACTCTGATGTAGATAAGCAGAGCGGCCAGGTCCTACCTGTGTCTTGTCCTGTTGCAACTGTGTCAGTTATATGGCTGTGTGCCTTGTCCTCATCTGCCTTTCTTGGGGCAGAGGTTGACCCAGCCTAGCTCACTAGACCTCTTGTAGCTGCCACCCTCTCCTCTGTAGGCCCTGACACAGCTATGCACCTGTCTTGCTGTTGAGCTGCAGCCAAGTGTTCACACTACTGGGCTCTCTTCTTGCTACAGGATCCCACCAACCTGGACAAATTTAATGTCTCCAACTTCTTCCATGTTAAGAATAACATGAAAGTAACGGACCCAGGTATGTATAACCAGAGTTGCTTTGGGTAGTACAGGTGGTGTTTCTGGGCAAAGCCTGGCTTCCCTGGCCTAGGGCCTGCAGGGCTGTGGCTGTACCTCTGGGCCTGACATTTCCCAAATCCATGCTCAGTGCCAGTTGTCCAAAGACTCAACTAAATACAGTCAGGGAAGCACCAGCCATTTTCACCACCTTCCTGAGACATCTCTGCCCATGCTTTTAGCCTCTGTGGTTAGGACAGTGGAATCATAGGATCAGGCTATACTGACATCTAGTCCCTGCCCTCAGGAAGGGTGGTGTAAATCGGTCTTGTAGAGTGGCTAGTACATTCTGATTCCCCATGTGGGGAAGCCTCCCTCACCCCCCATTTTTCTCAGCTCACTGTGACAGTTTTGCAGCCATGGATGAGCTAGCAAGACTCATGCCCAGAGAATATTTTTTTTTTTTGGGTCCGGTTGTGGGGCCTGAACTCTGGGCCTGGGCGCTGTCCCTCAGCTCTTCAGCTCAAGGCTAG